TATATATCCGGATTATATATATGTCATATTTTTGAGAAAATTATTTGAAAAATTTTTAAAAAAATTATTTGAAATATTTGTGAATTAACATCAAAATAATAATTATATTCTAAAAAATATAAGAAAAATATATTAACTTGGTTATTATCGAATGATATTTCTACAATCCTCTCAAGATGAATTTTGTTACCAGAAAGATATCATATATTGATATGTATTTAATGTTTTGCAATAAAAATTTTAATTAATAATTTCAAATTAAAATTAAAAAATATTTATTACGCACATTTTACTCATTTTGCAATTTTGGACTCCATTACGTATATCCTTCGAATGCAGACTTCCCATTGGTGATTATTATGATTTGAATTTAATAACAAAAATTAATAAAAATAGTGGACTATAATTTCCTATAAGATATGATATCTTAATAAGAAATATACTGCACTTTATTTTTGTTGTTTACAAAAAAAAAATAAAAAAATTCTTTTTAAAATCACTTTTGTTTAGTGAAATCGATTCTACTAAACACGAATAAATCGCAAATGTAACTGACATGCACGCAATCTATAAAGGTAAGCTTATGCGCGTGCTCGTTGCAATTTCGTCATCATAGAAATTAGCTTTAAGATCAATTTTTTTTTACAGAATAGAATGATGATTTAAATCTAAAATCATTAAATTTATTACAAAAGTATTCATTAAATTTTATGGTAATTTATATAATTATATATAATTGTATATAATAAACATATAAAATAATGAAATAGAATGCTTAATAATTTCAGATATAACAATAAAAATAATAATTCAATGTGTTTGAAATATATTTATATAATATAAACAAAGAATAGAAATTATAATGATCATTGATCATTACATATGAAATTCTATTCTTTATCATGTGTAAGAATTATTAAATTTATACTTTTATTATACATACTTTGTATTTCATGGAATATTATGCAAACAATAAATTGAATTTTGATATTTAAATATTGAATGTAATTAACGAATATTTTCTTCTCATTAAATACAAATATTGAAAAAAATATATGTTACATAGTAATAATAAATCAAATAAATCAAAATAGTTTTAAATAATATATCATTTATATTGTTTAAATATAGAAAAATATAACAATGAATAAAAAAGACATGCTTTTTAAGTATATATATAATTATAAAAAATTAAAAAATTTTCATATCAAAATATTATTTCTTGTTCAAGATTAATTATCAGTGATATAATTTTATACTATTTTATTATAAGTTATCACCATAAATTTTCTATCGCGTGTAAGATTAAAGGTGAGAAATTAAAGTATGATAAAAATTTTAATATATCAATATCGTATGATTTAGCAATATGATTTTTTTATCATAATTTCTTGGATTATCATTCAATATAAATTACATAAACTATGTAAACTACATATAAATTACTGTATCAAGTAATATGTACATATATAATCATATTAACTTAAATTATTTATTATTACATTTTATATTATTACATTATAAATATAAAATAAATATTAATAAAATATTATATAATAAAAAAATAATAGATAAATAATATAAATAATATAAATATTATATTATAATATTATAAAAATATTATAAAAAATAATATAAATATAATGAAATATTAATAATAAAATATCGAATTGAAATTGAATAATGACTATGAATGATTTATTTGAATGAATATTAATATTTTATTATAATTTGATTATATTTATTTTGCAGGACAAATTGATATTTTCTTCAAATTGAGAATATTCTGATCTATGAATTATAACGAATTAGGATTTAATGATATATGAATAAATATTATAAATTTTTATATTAATATTTTATTTTTTTATAATTTGATTGTGTACAGAAAAAATTGTAACATTTTTTTTCGAATTAAAGACATTCTGATCTATAAATAGATAATTATATCGAATTATATCGAATAGGATCGAATAGATATCGAATGATATAGGAATGACTTTTTCATATTAATCTTTTATTTTATTATAATTTGATTGTTGTATGTTTACTTTATAAGACAAGTTTTGATTTTTTTTCGAATTGATTAAAATAATTAAGAATTGACTTATAAATAGATATATTAAAAATTTATATAATTTTTTATTAATTTTTATTCAATTATAACCTATTTAAAGCATTCTTGGTAATATTGAGTTTATGAAAATTTTTGTTTTGAGTAATATTGAATTTATATAAACATTATATAAATAATTATATTATAATTATATTATATATATAATTATTTTATTGTTTAGTATCTATGCCGAAAGTAAACTATGCCGATTATACACTTTCATCATTATACGTGATAATTGTTTATTAATCAAGTAATAGGTTCATATAGTGAAAGTTGAAAATACTAGCAAAAACGTGCTTTTCTTTTTCATGTACAATATGCAGTATTTTGAGTGTATTTATTAATATTTACAATAATTTTATTAATTACATGTGAGATATATTAAAATGTATTGATCAAAAATATTTTTTAAAAATTAACATCATAGATATATTATTATGCCGCGGATTTATATATTATTAAAACATTTTTTAAAATTTGTAATTTAAAATTTAACAATTATGAAACCAAAAATAAATTGGAACAAAATGAAAGTAAAAATTTATAATGGATAATAATTTGATGAAAATTAAAATTATCTAGATCGCATATCAAAGTATAAAAAAAAATCGACTATTTTTAAACAAACAAATTCATTTAAATTTATTTAAATTTTAGATAATACTATAATATTTTGCACTTTACACAATTTTTATTTATTGATTATTAATAATTAACTTTAATTATAAATAATTAGAAAATATATTTATGTTATATTTTACTAGAATAAATTAATAAAATAAATGAAATATTGTATGAAATCAAATAATATCAAAAATAATGAATTAATATATCCTTATAGATGAATATTCATATAACTTTTAATATTTGTTAATTATATATTTATATTAATTAATTATATATTTAATTTATAATTAATATTTTAAAACGTAAATGTTACATGGCTCGTTGGTCTAGGGGTATGATTCTCGCTTCGGGTGCGAGAGGTCCCGGGTTCAAATCCCGGACGAGCCCAAGTGGTTTTAATTTTATTGCTTTTTTCTTGTCACTATTTTCTTATATGATTTTAATTATATCTTTATTATATTAATATTATTATTATTTAACATTTTTTATTTGGAAATTCTTTTTATGATAATAAAATATTAAAGTAAAATTATTACATTATTGATTACTTTATAGAAGTCTCGATAATATCAAACATGGCGCTTGGATGGAATCCATCAAAGAAACACAGCGATCGTGAAAGGTAAATTTGTTAAAAAATTAATGTATTTATAATACTGTTTATAATGTTCCGTATAAAGTTTTTTATTTTTATAATTTAATTATTGTTTTTATAAAGTTACTTTTAACTGATTTGTATATATATATGAATAACATCTGCTACATAACCTCTTTGACATAAAAATGACAGCACTACAATATATTTTATTTTTATTATAGATGGATTTGTATTTATCCAATTTATCTAAACAGCAAAAGAACATTAGCAGAAGGACGAAAACTTGCAAAAGATAAATGTGTTGAAAATCCAACACATCAAGAAATTCGTGATGTTTTGGTAGCAGCTGGTTTCAATGTTGGAGTAGAAAATAAATTACATCCACGAGAACGTAGCAAAGAATTATTATATCGTGGACGCATCCGCGTACAATTAAAAAATGACGATGGTACTCCTGTAAAATCTGAATTTCCTACTAGAGATTCTGTTTTGGCTTATATAGGTACCACTATTCCAAAATTAAAAACCCGCCAAGGAAAGCATTCAAGTGGTGAACAGTTTTCACAACCATCAAGTTCATCATCGAAGAAAGGAAAAGGAAAGGGAAGGAGGTGATAAAATGTGAAATAACAAATACTAAAAAAATTAAAAATATTTTTTATGTGTGTATTCTAATATTAAAATAAGAATTATTTTCATACAAGAAAGATTATATTATCTTCATATCATCTGACAAACAGTTTTGAACTGAATATTACCCATTTATATAAATTTAATATAATCATTAATTAATAATATTAAAATTCCATATTTATATATATTTTTAAAAATTTTTAACAAATTATTTTATTCGTTAATTTTTATTTGTTATTCTTATTTCAATTTTGATAGTGCTATTAATTCATATTTTTTTCTATCTTCATTTTCATTGGAATCAGAATTTGTTATATTTTTCTGAACATTTAAATTATTTTCTTTAATATTGAAAGGTTATTATAATTTTGATTGTTTATTGTGAGCTATATATTTCACAATATAACCGTTAGGATGAGGATGGGGTGCTGAAAGATGAGGTTCAATCATTTTTGATAATGGAATCTGTAAATTAAATATATATATTATAAAGTTTTTCAAAGTTACTAACATTTAAAAATAATAAGATATAAAAAAAGTAGTACATGTACATACATTATTGTGGAAATTTTTAGGAGCTAATCCCACAATAGTATATTGTCCAAATGGATGGATCAAAGTATTCTTGAGATTTTTTCTTTTTTTAGTATGTCCTTCTAATGCCTGAAAAATTAAATATAATATAATTAGTTACAAAAATATAATTACAATATAGTTACAAAAATATAAATTACATTGTATTATACATTACTTATTTACTTTATTGATATTTCCAAGAAGTGGTCCATCTGGATGTAATATATTACGCAGTTCTGATCTAGCATGTATTAAGTCATTTAATGGTAAAGTAGCTGATTTCATCAAACTGCTAGGAATTTCATGTAATGCATTAATATGAGGATGTAAATTAGGATGTAACACAGAATGTAATAAATTATTCCCTAATAGTAATTGTGGTACTCTACTTAATGTATTTAAAGTTGGATGTAAAAGAGAATGTAAATTATGAGAATGTAATGTCGGTAGATGTGGTGCTCCAACAATAGAATCAGATGAAGTTATATTTAAATTTTGTTCATTCACAGATGAATCTATGTTAGACTTATTAGTTGAATTACTTATTTCATCTTTATTTTTTTCACTCTCTGAATTGCAATTTCTTTCTCTCACAAAATGTGAATGACCTTTTAATGGTCCTCCAGTAAGAAAATAATTTGCAACTTGATGAGCATCATCTGAAAATTATTGAATAAAATTTAAAAATTAATAATTATAAATATATTCTGAAATCATTAATAACCATTATTTTTATTTTTCCTAAAATATCCAAATCTTACCAGGTCTGAGATATCGACTAGATTCCGATATACCACGTGCATTTCGAATATGTTTAACCAATTCTTTAGAATTACTATTAAAATTAGATTCTTTTAATTTCTTTTCATAATATATTTTGTAATCTACATAAACAAATAATATATTATTTGTATATAATTGTAATATATAATTTAACATTTTTCTTATTTTTGTTAAATGGATTAGATATATAAAAATTTATGTATGAAATATAATTTTAACTTTTTGTTTATTATGAATTTGTATTACCTTTGTAATCATCATATGTATTAGGATGATTGAATGTTATTGAAGTAAGTGATTGTAATTCATCAAATTTAACACAAGAAATATCACGTATAAATAATAATATAATATAATATAAAATAAAAATTAACGGTATTATTTTATAGCGCTCCATAGTATATTTAAGATTTTAAAAAATTAAATTGTTAACAATGATAAAAATACTTTAAAACACGAACTTGCACTGAAATCTGACATGATTGTTTCTGAAATTTATTGACTTTACAAAAGAAAATTTGCTGACAATTTATGAAAAAGTCTTTTTATTTATCATAACATGAATGTTTACTTTAATATGCATATATTGTAGAAATGACGTCAGAAATTAAATTAAGCAATAATATAATAATAATCTTTGTAATATGTATTTATGCATACTTATTAATGAATTTTTTTTATTTAATTTGCTACTCTTTTGTTATTAATCATTATTTTATAATTCTTGTATTAGTTTATATTTAAAAAAATATAATAAAGTATAAAGACTTTGAAATTAAAAAATTACGTTTATTTTATAAAATATTATAAATATACATATAGTATATAGATATAAAATATATCATTTTAAAAATGAGAAAAAAAAATCCTTCCCGTGATAATGTTTTCACACATTGCCGTGACCAGGATTCGAACCTGGGTTACTACGGCCACAACGTAGGGTCCTAACCACTAGACGATCACGGCTATCGAAGGTTATATTTATTGAATTTATTTTTTTATATATTAGCTATACATATATAATAAAATTAATATAATTATATCTATTGAGATGAAAATAATAAAATATAACATAATATTTATATAATCAATTTTAATAATTATTTAAAATAAGAACTAATAAGAAATTTCACTAATTGATAATCTTGAAGTATATTATCAAGATCAACATTCTGAACAACTTTTTCTTATACGTGTTATAGAATAAAATTAAAACCATCGTTAGGCTTTATTATTCTAAATAATTTATATATATATATATATATATATATATATAGTATTTTGCTGTATATATATAATATATATATTGATCTAATATTCCAGAATAAATATCACATACTTTTAATCGAATATTGTTTTTGAATAATTACTTTTTATAATATTATTATTATTGAAATATTTTCAATTTAATAAAATAATTGAATAATAAAAATAATTGAATAATATAATATATGAGTAATATTCCTAATAACAAACATAATAAATTAATGTCAGATTGACAACAGAGACAATAAGATTTAAAGTCAAAATAGTATTCATCTGTTTTTTGGCTTCATTTTTGCAATTCGAATCTGTTTGTTATTTAAATTAAATAACAAATCGATATCAGAAATATCAGTAGATATCAGCAGATCGGTATAAATATAGTATTTGATACTAAATTAATAATAGAAACATAACAGTCTGTGCATTATAGACTGCAGAAGCGCAATAGATTCTGTCATAAATTTTAAATATGGAATTTAAATAAGTCTTTTAAATTGTCATTATTATTATTATTATAAATATGTATAGATTTAAATAAAGGAAATAAATATTTATATTACTTTTGTTTTATTATTAATATAATAATTAAATATTTTATTATTAATATGTATTTTTAATACGTAATT